TAGTTAAATAATATATTATTAATATTATGTTACTTTTAGTTGGAGTTATAATAAAATTAGAATAGTTGTAATAAAGTTATAATAAAATTATATAGTTTGAGTTATAATAAAATTATAATAGTTATAATAAAGTTATAATAAAATTATAATAGGAATTATAATAATAGAATTATAGTAAAATTATAATTCCAACTAATTTTAAGTAACATAATATTAATAATATATTATTTAAAACTAGATATCTTATTTTCAATATCATAAATAAAATTTGCAATCACGTTTCTTGTCATATAATTCTCATTAATATTCTCATTTTATGAAACGTATAAACGTTTAAAATTTCTCGAAAGTTTGTTTTATCAGTTTTTGATTATCGATGTTTATCATTCGTTCAATATTAAAAACGATGAACATTTCTCCAGGTATCTGGGAACACGGATCAAAAAGATGGAATTAAAAAAGCAGGGTGAATATCACATCTTAAGTAATTTCTATTTTATTACTGTAGAACCAGTTGCTAATATTTCTTTTTCTAAATTATGAAAGCTATATCTATATATTTTTATAAATAATTATTCATTTATTCACAATTATTCATTTGCATATTGAGCACTCTTGAGTCGTGGCTGAATCACCTGAAATCGAAAACTGAATTGGACGCAATCGAATTGTGGACAAAACACGCCGAAGAACACAAGGATTTCAAGGTAATGCTCAAACACTAATTATTAGATTGCTGATTTTTATAGAAATTATTTTTGTACAACACAGTTATTGAAGTTGAGCTTAAGTGGAGACATATTTCGTCCCTTGTTTATTATAATGAATATAATATAATTTTTATACATTACGTGCATTTTGTGCATCATTGGACGCACTTAATTTTATTTAAGCATAAAAATCCGCAATCTACTAATTATATCCTAATCTTCCACAAAATTCTTTAATTAAATACGCGTTAAATTAAATTAGATCTTGTTTCAATTAGCTATCAATCTCGTGAATTTTATTTTCATTTGCAAAATTTACGTAACAAAATTAGAAATCAACTTCACTTCATTTACCTATGTGTTCCATAGCGTTTCAACCTTCTGGAATTTTTTAATTAAAGATCTTGAACAAGAATCCCCTGCAATACAAGGTTCCATTATACCCTTCTTCACTGAAAACTTTCAAAATTAAAGTCTCAAATAGTTTCTACAGTGTGAGCCTCGGTAATCCTCTTCTCGCAAAAAACTTCCAAACGTACCAAAATTGAAAATCTTAAAGTCTTTACTACCGGCTACTTCTCTTTTTCACGCATACGTTGTAAGATCTTTTGTACAACATTTTTATCCATTTACTTTATCAATAACTCTCCCGTTTTCATCGTATTTCTCATTTGAAGAAATATTTCTTGAGATAACATTTCAAATACAATTTATGATTCTTCAACTGATGTACCAAAAATGATTGAGATTTCTCACGTATGTTAGTTCGAATATGTACCATTTATTTGAGATTAAAATAATTCTAAGGTTCATAATAATTTTATAAAATAACAAGATCATACGAAATATTCCTCGAGTAGAAAATAATAAATTAATAGTTGAAATTCTTCTCTTTTATCTAACGTCTAACATCTATCTGCACTTTCTATATCTATTCGATGTAAACCCAAATCTCTGATCTGCCACTTATTGGTCCATCAAAGCCACAAAGATTTCCCCAACATCCTCAAAATACAACCTAACTTCTCTCCAAAGCTCTTCAGATCTCCCCGACAAAAGCGAGGGGATTATATTCAAGTACGTAAAATAAATCGATTTATTTAACGAAGCACAAATTGCCTGAAATTAATTTACTTGATACTTGATCACGAAACAGATTTACCTTCTTCAATTATTGCAAAATATTTCTGTATTCTGCACCGATATTCAGAATTATATCAAATGAAAGACGAGCAATAATTCGAAGGCAGAAGGACAGGAGCAAAAAAGGTTTAAGTATAAATTGAGAAAATGTAGATACGAGAAATAATATTCATTTCCTATCTCTTCTCGCGATGGCGCGATATAAAAAGTAAATTCGAATTCTCTAATCTGCCATTTATTCAACCATCAAACCAACGAATGTTTCTCCAGCTCTGCCCGATAAAAGCACTCGGGCATCCGTTTATTTCCAGCAATTCCAAGATTGGCTTCGATCTATCAAGGACATACTCGGCTCGGACGCGTACAGTGGCTGGCTCGAGGAAATTCTCGCGTCGTCGCGCGGCCAGCAGTTGCGAAAATGGCTGCGAACATCGCACGACAAGGTGAATGCCGGGGGACCGATATTTCCGGGGCAGGAACGACCCGGAGGTACATTGACGGAAAATCCATACGTAGTTGGCGATACGATGGTAAGCGCACGATCGAATTTTCATCCATGAAAGCACTGAGAGGCGAAACGAGCGAATCGCATCGGCATTATTCACGGTCACCGGGGTTGAACCTGCAACTCTCACGCAGATAGATCGTTTGAATTATGTTACGTGAGTTCGGCGTGATTTGTGGCGTGCAACACGCGCAGAGAGAGTGAGATACAATTTTTGGGAAATTATCGAGAGTAAAGTGTAACGGGATCATGTAACGAAATTAAGGGAGATAACTTATGGGACCAACTTCTTAAGTGGTTAATTTACTATTGTTTGGTTGATTAATTGTAAATGAAGAAAGGGACGATTGATGGGGAACAAGTAGAAAATGCACATAATATACAAAAATACGTAAATTAAACTAGAATTGTACATTGTTAAGTAAAAATTAAATATTCATGGTATATATTAATTACGATACTCAGATTACAATATCATCGATTATACTTTCGTAAATCACGCAGTTCGCGTAGCAGTAAAATTTGTCGAAATGTTAAAACTCTTTTCAAAGCTCTTGGAAAAGATCTTTGTAAACGAAAGTTAATTACGATCTGTCGTAACGAATGATTCCAGAATACATCGCCGCCGGACGATTCGAGCAAAGAAGTAGAAGAACTTCTGTCTCTTCTGAGAGAGAGAAATTTGACGAATATTTTAGAGAGGATTCTTGTTCCAAGCAGAGTTCTATTACCACCTTACGCAGCTTTGGAGGCTGCTCTTCTGAACAATCCAAGAGAATCTGATCCTTCTTCATTCTCCAATTACCTTTTGAAATATCCTTCTCGTGTGGGGAGTGAATTTTCGTCACTGCGGCCGCAGACAACAGAAAATACTTACGATCGACAATATCTTGTGGTACCAGTGAAGAATATGAAGGAATTAACCGATTCTCAAATCATCGATTATAATTCCAACATACGACATTACCATGGAATTATTCCTGAGAATGAAAAGATGCCTGATGAACGAGATAATTCTTACTCTATCGTAAGTATGACTCTTATGAATTATTATTATCACTCTTCGTGCGTGTGGTAAAGAAAATTTTACACTTTTAATTCTACTTATTTTGAATCGATATCGAGAAATAAATGAAGAAAGATGACAATTTAATTATTCGCTTGAAATTATATTTGACAATTAAATAATATTAAATAATAATTATGATATAGTTATATAATTATTAAATAATTTAATTATAATAAATAAATTATAAAAAAATATAATAATTTAATTATATAATTATTAAATAATAATATATTTGATAATATTATATTTGACTTAAAAAAAATTATATATTTAAATAGCAATTAATTAAAGAGCTGATAAATGAATAAAGATAAATGTGTGATGTCATTTTTAATCTTAACTCCAATTTAATTTTGTATCTAAAGGGACAACTATTATTCAACTGATTGAAGTTCAGGATATAATGTTAAAGTAATTAATAAAACAGTAAGATAAATATAACTTAACGAAACAAACTTAATAAAAAAATGTTATGAAAAGAGTTTAGTATTCTAAGTTCTTTGATTAAATTGAACTGTTCTTTAAGAACGTTCCAGAGAGGAAGATAAATTTATCATCAACCAGAGACGATAACTCATCTTTGAAGACTGGATTGCACGAGGATTTTGAAATGGAGTTTCCTAAGAAAGAAACGCATTCTGAAGATTCTATTGGTCTTTTGGGAGACAAAAGGTTGATGGGTAAAGCGCAGCACTTTGATGACGTTCCTGTTGATTTCCTGGAGAAGTTTCTTAAGTCTATGCAGTTCTTCCCGATTGAAAACGTGCCACAGACTTTTGATGAGAAATCTATTGAAGAATATCGCGAAGACGTAAGTTTTCTACGAAGCCTTTGATACGACTATAATTGAACAAAAGTTTCCCTTGAAAGAGAACTGTTCTTTATGCACAACGCTCACATAATTTACATATGTGTGTGTATAATTTAAAGAAACGCAAATGATTGTTATATATTTCCTTCATTAATAAGAATGCGAATGATCAAATAATAATTATTACATCTCGTTCCACATAAAATACAAATGATTAAATTCTTTTGCTTTTACACATATTCAGAAATTTAGTAATTTTGTAATGAATTTAGTAATAATTTGTAATTTAATAGTTTGGTAGTTCAATAATTTCAACATTGTATTCTCTCTATCTTGCTCAGTGAATGCCAAAGGTTAATAATTAATAGATGTTAATAAATGTTCTTTCTTTTTACCTGTAAATATTAATAAACATTCTGTTCTTCCACTTAATAAGTACCCCTGTCAGGATTCATCTAAAGCTTCCCAAAATGAGAAACACAATGAAAACTTCGAATGGGATTTGACATTTAGAAATAAAAATTCTGCAGAAAGTGAACATCAATTTTCTTTCTCCAATGATGATTATAAGAACTTTACAAACAATGTCAAACCAAGTGTTAACGCTTCCTTTGACAAATTAGGTATGTTCTTCTTTCATCTATGCCTAATATTCTTTTTACAAACATTTTTAAATTTTAATTATTTTTTTTTTTT